GCAACGGGCCTCTGGGTGACCCTAGATCGGTTTTGGCTTGCAGCACCGTTGGGTGAGGCTCGAGCACTATGTGGCTAGGACAGGAAAAGGGACGCCCAAAGGGAAACGGCTGTCTCCTTTTGACAATATCGTCGTGGGGAAGGTCGAAAGTTCCCGCCGAAGTTCTCGTTCTCCCTGCCACTCTAGAGCAGCAGCAGCAACGGATTTCTACATCTGGACACGTGCGCGTTCCTTGCATGTCCACTCTCTACCCAGAAAAATTCGCGCAGGGTCTCGTTGGGCCACTTGTTTCGTTTCTAGTAGGTCGACAGCAACGGCCAGCGCAGCATTGCTTGTCTCGGCAGCATACAGCAAGTGTCTGTGGACCGGCGGGAGACGGAGAAAGGTAGACCCCCCTACCCCCTCCCCTCCCCATTACAAAGCGGGCGAGAGAACCTTCCCGGCGGCCGAGGGCGAGCCAAACCGAACCCACGCAGCACCTCCACCAAGTCCCGCACTCTAGTTGCCAGCGTCTCTTCACCCGCGCTCTCGCATCGGCTCTCCAACCTCGCAACGGCTCGATTGGATTCTCTCTCCCCGGCTATATATTGCGGTGGGTTTGTCAGCCCTTAGATGGATGCGGTACTCATTGAGCGGGGGGGGAACAGGGAGTCGTGGCTGACGTTGCCTGCAGAAGTACGTCTAGAGATATCTCCTCCGCGACGGCCCTGCGTTAGATCTGTCGCTTTTGGCCGCATCTCCCGTAGTTGGCGATCCGGTGCACCTGGTGCAGGACAGCTTTCAGAGTCGCAGCACGTCCATGGCAGCGGCAACAGCAGGTGCGTGTCTCGCGTTCCTCTATGTGACCAGTACCTCCTCTCCCCCCATTGTTGTCGGGAAGGCACTGCATTGCCGAGCCCACGGAGCTACACGGGCAATAGCAAGCGCGTCGCACGTGGCCTCCCCTTCACCTTCTCCCACGGCCAGCTCCTTCTCTCCTGTCACTGCTTCCGCTTCCTCCGGCATTCGTCACCGCGGCGGTGCTGTGCTGTGTGGCCTGGTGACGCCTCACTTGCCACCTCAATGTATCGGTGTCCCCATAGCGCAGCACCGCCCGTGAATTCTAGCATGTTTTCCTTCCTTAGCCCCATTTGCGGCTGCATCTGGCTATATGTCACCGGTGTTCTGACGTGCGTCGCCTTCGCCCTAGGATACGACTGGCAACCGGCCGCTGCGCGCTCTTCTCCCCTCATATCCTCCACCAGCAGCAATCGTCCGCACTCGACGGCCGCAACGGCAAGCATGCGTGCCTCATCGTCCCCCGACACCACGTCGCCGGTCTTCCCCGACCGCCCTATCCGCCCGCTGCCTAAGCGCCGCCTGCACTCACGGCTTTCGCCCGAGGAGGCTGCGACCATCGAATACCCCCGCATTGCCTCCACCGGTGGTCCGCTCTTCAGCTTTCCGTATAGCTCGTTCGACAGCCTTAGAGCCTCTGCGCCCCCGACCGCTAGCGCAGCTGGGGATACTCAGGCTCGAGCCGACCCTCACTATGGCCGCTACCTGGACAATGACGAGAGCGATGAAGATGGGGCAGGCGCTCCCGGCCATGGCGGCGCCGTGGATGTCGCGACGGCCCGCGCCGAATACGCGTCATACGACCGTGCAAAAGCGGGCCGGGCCGGGCGCGGTGGCGCTGGCCCCGGAGGCACCAGTATAACTCCAGGCTCGTCGGGCGGCCTACTATCGCGAGGGCAAGTGCACCATCCATCACAACTCGTGATGCAGCCGCCACAACCGGATTCAGCTGCTTCTTCCGCGGATGGCTACGAGTCATTCGAGAACACGAACAACAAGAAGAAGCGTAAGATCCCTGTTTCTGGTGGCGGTACCCATCATCATAGTACTTTGTCGGCCGAGTTGGCAAGCATGGGGATTTCTCAATCAATGGCTCAAGCTGGCGCGGCAGCGACTCAAGAGGAAGTTGCGTCTGCCATCCTCCAGGATGCTTTGGAAGATTCAAGTGCTGGGGTGGGACAATACTACGGTTCTGGCACATCAGCGATGCCATCGTCTGGCTCTGGGACGGGCATTTCGGGTGCGGGTCGAGGTAGGTACGGACGCACTGCTGCAGTGCGAGCTGGAAACGAACGTAGGCCTTTAGGCGCAAGTACAAACGGTCTGAATGCGTATGCAACTGGTGGCTCGCGGAGTAGGAGGGACTGGACGGGTAGTACTTCCACCAATGGTAAGGGTGAGTTGGTCCTCTGTCTGGGAAAGGTCTAAGACAGCTGTTAAGACAGTCCATACTATTAAAGTCTTAGACACATCAACTTCCCCATAGTAAACATCGTTAAAGTGGTCGCATGAACAGTATTTTGCTAATCTATTCCAGGGGCGCAACCTCAACCTGGTATCATCGGCGCAGCCATCGCCTCTGCTGCAGCCGACCCATCCGCTCCTATCACTCCTTCAGCAAACACTACCGCTACGTCCAGAGCTTTTGCCAACGAGAACGCTTCAAATTTGCCAGCAGGCCAATCCACACAGTCGGCATCGGAATCCTCGTCGAAGCCAGCGCCCCAGAAAACTCAGTTCACGTTCACTTGCGAGTCTGACTCTGCAAACAAGATGGTCTGGCCTGGGCAGTCTGGCTCTGGGCCCTTTGGTGTTTCGCAGCCGGGCTGTACCGTAAACTCTCAGGGACGCCGTGTTGCAACTCAAGGCACGCAAACCGGAGCAGGTTTGGTTGGACAAGGAGGCATCGCCCCGCCGTTGCAGGCGCCGGCTCAGGCGCAACAGACGGTTGGGTCCGCAGGTGTGCAAATTCAATCCTCAGCTTCACAGATACAGCAAACTCAGCAGTCAGTCGCAGGCATGGCTGGTGCTGGCGGAACAACGGGCGCTGCTCCGAATGCCACCAATGCACAAGCTCCCAAGAAACGCCGCCCTCGCCGGAGCATGGCGCGCGAACTTGAGCTTGCAGCGCGCCAGCGTCGGCTACAGCAGGAATACAACAATTTTCACCATCCCCCGCGCCGCGAAGACATCTGGATCTGCGAGTTTTGCGAGTACGAGAGCATTTTCGGTGCGCCTCCCGAAGCTCTTGTGCGGCAGTACGAGATCAAAGATCGTAAGGAGCGCAAGCGGCTCGCCGAGAAGCGACGCCTGCTTGAGAAAGCTAAAATGAAAGGTCGCAAATCGCGGAAGTCCAGCAAGAAGAACCAGGGCAACGGGAGCAACAATAAGGGTGGCAACAACGCCGGCGCACACGACCCGACTCGCGAGCGTGGCGGCAGCGTCGACGATGCGTCTAACGCCGCTGTCGATGGAGAAGAATACTACGATGACGAGTACGACGACGACGGCCTCGACGGCACCGCCGCTGCGGCGGCTGCCGCTCCGCCCCCGCCTCCGCCGCCCCCGAACTCGCGAACGGACAAGGCGGGCAGGTTCATTAACGGTCACGCAGATGCTCTCCACGGACAAGCGACCGCGGCGGCTCCGCCGCCACCGCCGCCGCCGCCACCGCCGGGAACCCCAGCTGCCGGGGCGGCGTAGCTCGTGCGCGCGGGCGCTGCCGCGCTTGGGGCCGTCGCTGGCGCCGTCGCGTGGCCCGCGGCGCGCCGCCCGTGGTGGCGTTCCGAACGCTGCCGCCGTTGGTTCATGTCTCCGTCCTTGCGTCTCTCGGCTACTCGTGCTCTTGCTGCTACCACTGCTGGTCCGGCCGCCCCCGTTGCCGCTGCTGCTGCTGCTACTGCGGTGGCGGTGGCGACAGCGGTGGTCTCAGTCTGTTTTAGTTGCTGTATGTTTTTGGTTTGCTGTGTCTTCCTGAGTAATTGGGTTTGGGCGGCGGAATTGGCCGTGTGGTGGGGGGCTGGTGGAGGTGGCTGGTGGGGAAGGGATAATATGGTGGAGAACAAGCAGGGAGAGTTTGTCTAGAGTAGGAGTTTGGGGGTGAAGGGATGTTGGTGCGGAAGTTGTGGAAGGTTGCATGTTGAACCAGGGACGCGTAGGAGCTGTTGCTTGGACGAGTATCGAGTTGGTGGTGATGCGTTGAGTGTATGGGCTAATATTGGGGATGTTGCATAAGAGTCAACAAAGGCTCCATTGTACGGCGGATCACTTCCCCTTGGTGGGAGGCGGTAACTGCTGGACGGCGTTTCTATTTCGGAGGGCATGTACTGCTGTCGGCGCGAAGTTGTATCAAGATCATTTTCAGGCGAAGAGTAGCATTAGAGGCGGAAAACCCAAAAGAAGAAATAAGCCAGGGGAAAGAGGGGATGCGGGTAGGAGGGCAGTGGCTTCATTGTCCTGTCTTGTGTAGCAGCAGTATGGATGACTGGATGGGTGGATGGTGGAGATCGGTGGTTGGGCAAATGTGGCGAAGGGGGGCGTGAGAGGAGATCCACTCATTCAGTTAACATTCTTTTCCTCAGTATCAACAGCTGGTTACCTAACTACGTCTGCATCACATCCTCACTGAATTACTTACTCTTGCCTCCTGTCCTTCCCCTGTTGCTTCGCTCCCGCGGTCCCTCACAGTTAGAAGGGTATATCCTCTCGGAGCAACCACATTCGCCCAGAATGCTCTTCTCCGATCCTCCGGCTGCTCAGAAACACCCATCTCTTAGCTCTCTAGGCAGCATTCCAAACCACGGCGTCCCCAAGTTGTCTCCCTCGCAGCTTTGCGACTTTACTCAACACATTTTCGAATCACCACTTACATGGCGGCTTATGAATCGGACCGGCTAGTATAGATTGTAATTGATGCGAGTACTCAATGCACTCAGCTACTTTAAAATAAGTATTAAGCCCAGACTACTGCGTGACGTGTTCTTTTCTGTCTGGAATAACATGAAGCTGAAGTTCGTGTGGTTCGGTTGACCTTGCTTGGCCACGGAGGCATGCTTAGCGGGTACTTTGCAACATGCAAAATTATACTTAATTAAAAACTAGTAATACAAATGTTGTGCAGAACAGGATAGCAAGAGAATACTTCTGAGTGCAAAACACAAAAATGTCGCCGTCGGGAGTCGAACCCGAGCCTGCTGCTCGCGGCGAATTTTCGCTTCATGGAAGGCAGCAATCCTAACCGTTAGACCACGGCGACAGGAAGACAATATTTCACGTAAAAATTAGTATTTTTAATATATTAAATTTAGTTCAATTTTGACCAACTTTTACACCAACTTCCTTTTTTGCTGGAGCATGTGAGAAGAACCAAGACTGATAGAATAATGTAGCCAACTACATTTTTTTAGCCCGTTGTAAGTTCGACCACGTTCCCTCGGTTACTATTTCAGCTATGCAAAACTATGGCAAAAGACTCGACTATCAAACACTGGATAAATATACCAATTACTCGCCCGCACTGCATGCTGCATTGTGCAAGTAACTTGAAATTTGCCTTTTGCTATTATATCGAGTATCTAAAGATCTACAAATGCAGTCTGTCTAAGTTATAACTTCCTGTTCATTAGAATTATCCAGAGCTACACTATTTTCCAAGATAGGTTGAGAAAGCGTCACCCGTTTCATTAGAGATTCAGTATAAAATCGCGCCAAATCTTTCATGCTGCACGCCAAGCAAAATTCGTCGCTAGACGCTGCCCCATTCCTGAAGGTTCCACATGAGGCTACTCGCAACGTGAAATTTTGACCGCACAGGGCTAAAAAATTAACCTTACTTGGTAGGGAGATGCCCCCCAGGGAGCGTACTTTCCATTTCTGGCGACGTACAACCCGCGCTCAATTCATCCTGTAAAGTCCGTTTGTCAAAGTTGAGCATCACGAAAGTTTATAAAACAGGGTTCTAGGAGAGAAATCGTAGGATTAAAGGTATCCTGGAGCGAGGTCTCCCCACCTTACTCGGTTGAACGGCGCGTGCCAAATATCGCAAGAGCTTCTCACTTCCTTACCCTATGTTATTTATCTCTCTATGACTGTCGCTTTTATATTTTTACTAGATATATAATAGTGTAATCGAAAGCGTTTTGTATTTCATCGTTGATCAAGAGGCTAAGAATATAGGCTAGTCGGCCATAAGAATCAAGTGTAAAAATTGGGTTAAATTCAGGATGAAGTAGAAGGTTCCGCTCAGCTCTTATCTGCTCTACTTATTGCCTAATAGTGACATTGACGAGACAGCGAATGTTCTAATTTTATGCCGTATGGGGCAATTTCTAGCTGGAGGAAAAAAAAAAAATAAAAGCTACTGTCTGTCACAATTATACCGTGAAGGATTTCTATTAATTGCCAATGTAGGACGTCGTGATTCGCGAGGCGGCTCGAGATTTCTGCCCCATCCGCACCTAGTAGAACTAGGTCGGGCATGGAGCTAACGGTTGTGTGCCCATTGACAGTTAACCCTAATACCTAGAAGTGTAGGCTACTGGGCTCACTACACAAACAGGCAGTTGAGCTGACTGTTCTTGATTCATGTATCGCACGTACAGGTCGTCTACACATAATCTATGCAAAAGTGAAAGGAGGCTGTTGTTGAAATTAGATGGAATATTGAGGTTAGACAAGAAACTCAACTCTACCGTTGATTAGAAAATACAGAACTCCCGACAGGCTTGGCATCGAAACCCAAATTCGCGGCGAAAGCGTATCTTGACGCGACTAAACACTGCATTTCTGACATACAATAAACTATTTCTATACTTCATACCCTTTATAGCTAGCACGGATAGTAGTCATTGAATATACGCAGATGATTATCTTCGCCCGATTTATCAATCAACTTTTGTCGGGGGGAATGTCGGTCTAGCAAATCAAATATCTGTGTTCGCCGGACTCTAGTTAAAGGCGAGCAAAATTAGACGGACGGAAGCGGCACGAACGCGAGCCCAAATTAGTATAGATAATTTTGAGAAATTTGGATGATGGGGCGTCCGAAATTGTGTTGAGCAGTTCTATTCTTAGTGCAACTGCTCGAGTGGTGGGGGCTGCTTTTACTGTTGTCGCGGCGCCTGGTTACTGTTGTTGCCTGGCTTCGAATCGCTATTGTTGTGGGTAACGTAATCCACCACCTAGTGGCCCACACCACCTAGTGGCCCACCCAGCAACATCTCCATCAGCAAAATGCCAATATCTTGGCCAATTCTCATCGGATTCGAGTGTTTTAAGCGTCATTTGAACCACCAGAAGCCTGAGTAGCAGCTTGACATGTTCTGGAGTTGTGTCCTTCAATGCCGCAGCGACCACATCGCCTTCTCTTGGTGGTGACGCCCACCGCGATGGGAGCATCCACCAGCATTTCTTGCTGCAATTGAGCCTCAATGGCAGGATGATCGACCAATTCCATTCCTTCTAGCAT